GTGGAAGGCACTGGCCTGGGAATCTCAGCTGCCTTAGTTGGTAGAGCTAACAGCCCTTCCTCTAGGCTCCACTACTCCCAACCTGAATCAGGGAGAGTCTCAGACTCAGTCACAACTGTATGCTTTTATGGGTTTCTCCATAAATTCCATGAGCATCTTTGGGGTTTCCAGGTGCTAACATTGGTCCTGGCTCACAACAAGTGCCTACAAATGGGCGGATGGATAGACAGACAGAATGAAGCAGAAAAACATCTGGCACAGTGGTTTATGTTTCTCTCCCCCTAGAAACAGTAATCATGTACCCACGAGAGGTCAGAACACGTTCTTCCAGGATCTGTGGGAATGCGTCATGAGCACCCCAAACCCTATGCTCTGGGGTTTCAAACTCATTGAACAAAACCTCAATGACTAACAACCACAGCCTGGAGAATGTGGCTGTCGGAGGTCAGCCACTTCCCTGTTTCCTTGGTACCCAGCACATCCTGTGACACACGGCTCTCACAAGACAGCACAGCAGAAGCCAATGGGGAAAGGGTTCAGCGAAGAGGCAAAAGCCTTGCTCCTAGACCACAGGGCTCTTAGTAATCTAGCAAGTCCGTGAGTGGAATGAAAAGAAACTTATTGGACTGAAAATGACCATTGACCTACGACAGTCTAGTGACCCGAGGCTCACCCAACACTCATTTCACTCATCAAACACTCACTGCACACTCGTTAAGGGTGTGAGGAGAGTAGGAAGGACCTATGATGGAGGATGAGGCTACCTATTTTAGACAGGGCAGCTGGGGAGGGCTTCTCTGAGAAGGAGACCTGAAAAATAGTCAAACGGCAGGCAAGGTGCTGCCTTCCGAAGAGGAGCCAGGACGTAAACCCGCTGCAGCCTAATGTGCACTGCAGAAAAAGGTGGAGCTCCCCATCGCGGAGGTTAGCGATCAGTATCATTTCCTGCCGCCTTCTGGCCACCAAGCAGTACGAACGGGACAGCTGACACTCTGGAGGTGGCAGGCGCTGAGTGTGCTTCTCCGTGCTGTGGCTCCCTCCCGTTTTCACAAGACTTGTCTTCACGTATCTGCTTCAGCAGACCACAGTTGCAAATAGCCGTAATAACCCGCTCATCTCCCAATCGCTTGGGCACAAGGTGCCACGCTATCGTCACTATCTTCCTAGGGCCTCTGTCTGAACTCTTGAAGCACCGTGACCATGCCTTACCAAATTCCATCTTCCCACTCCTATCATGGCACTTGGTACCTATCAGCTGTTCACTAAATATTTGCCAAATGCTGAATGGGTGGCTTTCTTGTGGATGATCCCAGGTCCGAGGCATCCCAGGAGCCCTGGATGGTATCTGAGAATCTGGGACACAGTGGAGACACCAGGTGTGCGACATAAATGGGTGTCTGCCCTGGGGTTGGTGTTTATCCAGCTAACGACACTGTCCTCATGCCCTGACCGTGGAGGCAAAGGACCAATCTAGATGTGGTCCTCAGGGATGTGGGCCAAGGCCCTGAGGTGGGAGGCATGGTGTGTGCTTCTATGTGCTGTAGCAATCTCTAACAAACCTTAACCTCATCCTTAAGCTTCCATGCCCAGAGATAATTTGGTATTTCGTCCACGGTTTTTCCAAGCCACCCATTTCGCAAATCCAAACCCACTCTGGAGCGCTTTTCAAAGCTCTGGAAGCTGCTGCTGCTGCTGCTGCTGCTGATGATGATGATGATGGTGATGATGGTGATGATGGCTGAAGCTGACAGGCCTGCCGTGGGGATGCCTGGTGTTTTTAGTCAGCCCGTCTTTGAACTCCAGGCTTACATGGCCAGAAGTCTGGCTCTCATGACTTCCCTTCCTCTTTCATCACACAGAGGACTTTAAACTTCTTCCAAATAGAAACATGCAGACTGTGTAATAAACAGCACCAACTCCCACTCCTTCTTCTTTCATTTGACAGATGGAGAACGTAGGGCCGGATTAGTGCTAACCACTCTCTAAGACAGACGTGACAGTGTCCATTTTACAGATGAGTAGACAGAGGCTGCCGAGTCTCTCACTCATAGCTCACAGCTAGCTAACAGCAGAATCAGTATCTGTCTGATTCTAGGGGCAAAAGCAACCTGGGTCCGCTGTGCTCAGCTGGTTCCCATATGAGCCTCCCCAATGTTCCAGGGAAGCCGTGGATCTCAGGCTGTCAGAGAAAGCTCAGGGTACGTGGAGGGTAGACCAGGATCCAGGTCCAACTGTAGCACTTCCTGGGGTCCAACTTAAAAGCCCTGAGAGTGGGAGGAAGGGCTTGTCTCACTGATGACAAGATTTCCACTCCCAGGCAGTGAGTTTCAAACCTCCTTGAGGGAAGTTTTGCGAGTGGGACCTGGGAAGGACTGGGATTTGTGTGGAACATCACACAAAGCCAAGGGCTAGGAAGGAGCAGTGCTCCAATTGCCAGCCTTTTACTTCTGAGATTATTTTAAGGCAGATAACCTTGGGGCGGGGCGGTGCTGGGAGGAGAGCTGTGTGTGTGGGCGTCTTCAAGAATGGGCACGGTCACGGTATATATGCATCTCTGCACAAGTTCCCAAGATCCTGCAGTTGTGTGTAATGAGAGGGTGTGTGTGTGTGTGTGTGTGTGTGTGTGTGTGTGTGTGTGTGTGTGAGAGAGAGAGAGAGAGAGAGAGAATATACCAAGAGACAAGGGCTAAGCATGTCCCCTCTCCCCTCCTCTCTCTCCCTCCCTCCTCTCTTCCAGCAGGAAGAAGGCACTACGTATTTCCCTCCCTCAAAGGGATACAAATAAATCTCCGATGACAACGCACGCCTCGCTCAGTCATCCTTTGTACCAACTCCCTTCTGTGACCACAGCTAGTGAAAGGCTGGAGTGCAGTGAGGCAGGCCAGGCGAGGGTGTGGAACCACCTCAACTGTGAAAGCAGATGTGAAGAAGGGCAGGTGTCTTCTCCTTCAGGTGTGGCTGAAATGAGGTCAAGAGCTCGCATTCCTTTCGTTTTTTTCTGAGGTTCTCCCCTCCCCCTGTAGCCAATATAAAGAGAAGAAGCAACAGTGCCCCTTGGGAAGACCACCCTTCAAGTGTCTTTCTGTTCTCCTGGCTCTATTGTGTCGGTATTAACTTCTCAGATTCAAGTCTATTTCCACAAACAAGATAATCAAAGCCAAGACCACAAGCTACAAAGAGAAGCAAATGCTTTGTCGTGACCTATAGCATAGTGCCTGGCACCCAGCAGGACCCCCAAACCTGCACCCCAAACATGTCAACACACACCTGGGCAGCTACAAAGGCCATCCTGCCCAGTGCTGACTTCAAAAGAATCCAGTATTTTTCTCTTGAAATAGAATGAAGGGATGTGGGGTAGGGGTGGAGGGAATGAACACATACAATTCTCCTAAGCACTTTTACAAAATACTGAAATTACGTTTGCGAAATTGCTTCCAGCCCTGGTAAAATACACACATGGAACAGAAACCTAAATATCTGCTAAATTATCCTTTTTAAGAGCAAAACAAAAACAAGCAAATGAAGAATGGAGGGGGTGCCATTCGTGAATAAATAAGGCCCAGGTTTGAATGTTTTTATAGGCTGGGGCCTACCTTTCAGCATTGCATCCTGGGTAATGGGAAGCCAGAGGCCTCTGAACTTGGAAAGCAGTGGGGAAAAAGCAAAACAAAACAAACTCTGTTGGGTTTTTTTTTTTTCCAATTCCTAATTATGTTTTTTAAATAAGTTGAAATCAAAATGTTCTTTTTCCAAACGGCTTCCACTTTTGGAGCTATGTCTGACCTCCCTGCACCTACTCGCTCTGAACTCCACTGGAGCAGCTGAAGAAAGCAGGAAGTGCCTTGGCTGCGGACCTCACTCAAAGCGGGAGGAAAGGTGGGGAAAGACTGGCAAAGGAAAGCAGAGCAGCCTGCTGGCCAGCTTGAGTGTTGGGAGCCTGGCCACCTGCACGGTCTGAGCATGTCCGAGGAAGCCAGCTGGGGAAGGACGTGCAGATCAAAATCGCATCTCCACCCTCCAAGGCAAATGAACTCAGACACACTTCTTACTGTTCCTGGATCCAGGAAACAGGTATATGTACTAAAAGTACTCTGTAGGGGCTGGAGAGCACCGGCTGTCCTTCCAGAGGACCCGGGTTCAATTCCCAGCACCCACATGGCAGCTCACCACTGTCTGCAACTCAAGCTCCAAAAATTCTGACACCCTCACACAGATATATACAAGCAAAACACCAGTGTACATTAAATAAATAAACAAATCTTTAAAAAAAAAAAAGAAGTACTTTGTAACAGCCAAGATCACTCTCAGCAAGTGAGATAATGAAGGCCAGAGAGACAGCTCAGAGGGTAAAGGCAACTTGCTACCGGACACTGCAAGCGAACATGATTACCCAAGTTCAGTCCCTGGAAGCCAGGGGAGGGTGGAAGACAGAATCGAATCTGACTGTCATAGACACAGCAGGGCATGTGTGCGCCTCCTCCCATATCAATGACTTAAAACTTCATTGAGTGACACAACGAAGCTCCCTGAAGTTCTTCAATGGGTACACTGTGGGAACAAACCCAGACGGTGTGCGATGCAAAGAACCAGAGCAGAAGCCTTGGATTTGACGGTCACTGCTGGTGCTTTTGCAGATTTGACAGTTCACTTGGATTCTCAGGATCTAAGCATCTTTTCCTACTCCAGAGCAATGTCTACAACAAGGTTATGATTGGACAAGCAGCGATTGTACCATAAACTACTAGGCAAGTACTTTCTATCACTCTATAATTTCAAAATGGACACACAGTTCTTATCTACCGGCAGGGCGAATAGACTTTTATCTGAAAAATAGAAAAAGTCTAGAAATTAACAGGGCTTTCTGCTACGTTGTGCAGTGTTGTGCTCCAATGAGATTTAACGTGCCCGGGTCTTTTTTTCCAAGGATTTCACACAAACTATGTCCTCAGGGATGCCAAGGCGGCAAGCTACGGTTGGGTCTGCCCCTGTTAGAAACTTACCACCAGATACAGCATGGTAAACATGGAGAAGGAGGCGTGGCCCGAGAAGAAGGACTTCCTGCAAGAACAAGAAGGGGCCATGAAAGGACTATAGTCATATCCCCAATGTCCGCTCTCCTGTCTTCCCTTCCTAGCCTCTGACCTTGACAGCAGACACAATCTTGTTCATTTCTGCATCCTTGGTAGTGCTTTGGAAACATGCCTGGAACTTAGCAGGCATGCATAAATAAGCAAGAGAAGGAATAAATGAATGAAGGGATTTACCAGTGCTGTATCACAATGATGTATTTACACATCTGTCTCAAGCATTAGGCTACGAGTTCTTCCAGAGTAGGTACCACGCTTTCTCCCTCATCTAAACCAGAGCCCGGCCCCTGGGGTGTTCAGTAGACGCTCTCTAGAGGACCCTGTGTCAAGAAGGGCCCTTGCTGTGTCTGTGTGGCGGTGGCCTCCTACCTGGCCTCCTGTACTTTGCTGTCTTCTCCTCTGCACCTGTAGTTCTGAATGTAGCCCTCGGAGCAGTTGATCTGGCTGAAATCGGGGTTACAGACGCTCAGGAAGTGAGGCCGCAGGCGCCCGATGGACACTTTGGCGATGTCTGTGAAGGACTGGCTAATGGCACAGCCAAAGAGGAAGCAGCCCACTTGCTTATACAGAGCGGCCACATAAGGGTTCTGAATGGTGGATCGGGACTTCTCCTTGAGGTAATAGATCCGGTAGAATTCCCCTGTGATGATCTGAAAGGAAACCAATAAGGAAGTTAGGGAGAGCTGAGACATCCGTAAAGTGACCTTGCAGACCACAGTTGGTGACAATAGGAGAATATAGTCAGTATTTAACTATAAGGTACAGAATCTTAATGTCCTACTTAAATATGTATATTTAAATAAACACAAGAGGATCAACCAAAGTGGGAATGACATGGCTGTTATTTCCTTCTTTAAAAAGATTCTTACATTGTTACAGTATCTCTGTAACAATAATAAAACCCACCAAGTATAAATATATGTATAAACATGTGTGTTTGAGACTAATGTGTGTACATATATATGTATATATATATATATACACACACACACACACACATATATATATGCACATCAAAAAAGACTCAACTATAAAAAACAAAAGAGAATAAAGACTCAAAGGCACAGTTTAGAGTGGCTACATACTGGGTGGTGGTGGTGCACACCTTTAAAGCCAGCACTAGGAGGCAGAGGCCGGCACATCTTTGTGAGTTCAAGGCCAGCCTGGTCTAAAAGAGCTAGTTCCAGGACAGGCAGGACTGTTACACAGAGAAACCCTGTCTCGAAAACAAACCTACAAAAAAAGAGTGGTTACGTGTCAGGGACCATGTGAGCAAATCTTAGGGTGCTGGGATGTGGGAAGCATTATTAATACTAGTTTGGCCCTGGTGCTAGCGTTAGTGGGCGTTTCCACAGTCCACAGTGAATACAGCAATCAGCTCCTGAGTGAATCCAGGCTCTGCCCCCTTCCCCACGCACTTCAGGTCTAAACCTCTCAAGCTTCACTTGCTTCCCCATAGAAGGAGGTTGCCGGCCTATGAGGAGTCGCTGGTGTATATGAGACAGCACTGGCGGGGAATGTGCTGTGTCATGGGAAGAGAGACTTAATTTACTTTCATTATTTAACAGTTAGCCATTTAATTTTCTATACTGAGAACTGAACCCAGGACTGAGTGGCATCTCTAGCCCTATTTTACTTCTTAAACATATAGTATTATGAGAACAACAACAGCAAAACCACCGGTTTAACCTGGGCACAGTGGCATACACCTACAATGCCAGCACTGGGACGATCAAGGCCAGCCTGGGCTCCACAGGGAGACTCTGCCTCAGAAACAAGCAAAAGCAAAAATAACATTGAAATGAAAGTAAGTCAACATTCAACACGGTGCGTTTAGGTGTCCGAATTCCTCAGTCAGGCGTTTACTGTCTCCTTAGATTTTGAAAGCCGAAGAGAGGCCAGCGCACACGTTCTTTCACAATTGTACTCCTTCCCCTAAGCACGGGCCAGCTGTCACTATAAGGTGACTGTGGACGGTGTCTCTCTGTCATTTGGCCAAACTGCCTTTGGCAATGCACACGTGGATGGTGTTTCTTCGTCACTGGACCAAACTGCCTTGGGTGATGAACAACCGTGCAGCCCGCAGCGCTTAACTCCACAGCACAGCTGTGGCCACTTCCTGGTTGCAAGCCCAGGCCAGGGACGGTGACGGTCAGCTCATCACTCACCACAAAATTCCCTTTCACACTTCCTCCCATTGAGGAGGATGAACCGCACTTGCCCTCTCAGAGAGCTGATACGCTCACAACCACAAGGGAAGCAATAGACGGGCACATCCGGGGCACTCCTTGGCAGAGGTTCCGTTATTCCTTTATGGTGGGGTAAGGCATCATGGGCTGAGTTTAATCCAGGTCCTCAAAGGCCTCCAAGTATAGGAAGGAGGGTGTCGAGAACAGACACACCAGCTGGGTCCGGGGACATGCAGGTGCAGGAGCGGGAACAATGCTGACACAAGAGCCCTGGGTGACAAATGCACTGTCTCCGTGAGTGCGACACTTTTCCCAGAGCACACCGAGGATGATTCTCCCGGGGAGGGATGGTTCCAGGCTGGCCCAGTCAGCACACTTGCCTAGCTATTCCCCGAGGAAGCAGAAGTAACTAATATTTAACTCCCCAGAGGTGCTCAGAAACGGTCACTGGAGGAACAGACAAGATGTCAGGGGGCAGAAGAAGAGTCAATCCCCAGAGCTGCACAACTGGAAATGTCCCCTGCTCCTTGCCAATCAGTGTCCCTCTGATAACATGCCACAGGGATTAAAGCCGGAGCGGTATGGCAAGTCACAGGTGAAAGCAGCCATTCTACACCGGCGAGACCAGAGCCCAAATTAACTTGCGTCCAAAGATTGGACCCAGACGCGCTCCCCCTCCGCCCAACGTTTTTTCCTACCGCTCCTGATCTAATTCCCTTTTCCAACCTGTTCAGGCTTCTACCCTACGGAATCTCACAGGCTGACAGGTTCCAGATGTCTGTGACCACAGCCTCGCTGTCTGACTTCTGATTCTTTACTCGCAAATCACACGCAGGTGTGTTTACCTGGAGGGGGACGGACACTGAGCGAGGGAGGGACACTGAGCCATGGCTGGAGCCCTTGCCTGCCGAGGGAATCTGGGTTTGGAACTTCAGGAGAGTAATGCCATCCGCCCTCCTCTCTGCGGTGCTAGCTTTCAAATTAGCTTCCTAACCAAGCAGAGGCAACAGGTGAGAGACAACAGTAGAAGGTTACTTGTGAAACACACCTACAAGCAAGGTGCAGAACCAAGGCCCTGGGCACAACGCCTGCCTTTGGATTGCTCCGCGTTTCCAGGACCAGGCCACTGACTTAGACAAGGAAATCCTGGCTCAAGCACCATTCCATGGTAAGAAGGAACACATATGTGGGTTAAGCATCGTTTACAGGACTAACTGGTTAGTTTTAGGTAAGAGTCGCTCCTGTTCAGGACACTTTCAGGAAAAAGGCTTCCATTCCAGCTCCAGGACTGTCTTCAGCCCCTACCTCTCAACATTTTAAAATCCCTATAGTGGGGCCATCTCAGAGAGCTACGAGTGAAGATCCTGGCAGTGAGGGGAGATCAAGAGGGGAAAATAATAGACCGTATGCTACCTCACACGCCTGACAGTGTTGGTTCCAGCAGCCATTTCTCAGTTCCTTTAAACTATTGTTTCATTTGGCGCACACCCTACCCAGAAGGCAAGCCGGTTGGCTATACAGATGGGGATTCTGGGACTCTGAAGGATGGGTGCTGGTAAGTGACAGAGGAGGAAAGCCCATGGCCTCTCAGTTCAAAGATACTGTGTGGGCAGCTCAGAGATTAGCTTGTTAGTTCTATTGTTATCAAAACCATTTTCTGTGGTGGAGAAGACATCGTGTGTCCCCAGGACAGCCAGGCTGAAGCCACTTAGCAGACACAAGGCTCCGGGACCACATGGCTCCTGGAGCCGCCCTGACAGATTGCACAGTTAATGAGCAGCAAATTATGTATTTTCTCCATCCCCTCGTACAGAAGGGTCGAGGAGTCGACAACACGGTCATAAATCATCATTATGAACCAGGGGGACTCAGCTTCTTGTAATCCTAACCTTTAAAAGCTATTTAATGAAACTCGGGCTGCACCTCTGCAGGAGAGGCGAGGACTTAAACCGTTCCCTGACACGTTACTCACCTCCTCTGGAGCCCCAGATTTACTGCTTTCGGACTTTATTCATTATTCACAATGTTTTCATTCCTGGGCCATAAAATGAGCACCCCCCTCCCCTCCAAAGGCTTGGTCCCCACCCCCAGGCCCTCATTTCTGCCTCAGTCAGCAAGGTTCTGATATGTAAATTTCACTTTGGAGAAAAAAAAACCGCCTTCCTTCCATGTTGATCTCTTTCTGAAGCGGCTAGCAGCAAATCTGGGGTTGATGGCGGGCTGCCAGCCCGGCAGAGTGCTCTCCCCTACCTGCCTTTTAAGGTCCTTGGCCCGGAGTCTGGAAACTCATACAGAGGAAAGCAGGGCAATTAAACTACGAGGGGACAGAAAGGGACTGGTCCTGGCCAGCAAGACAGTGCTTGGGAAGTTGTCCCCAACGGTAAGAGAGAGCCTCTTCCTGCCTTCTGTGGTGAACAAGAGCCCAGACACCCACATCTTTTCAGATTTCTGGAGAGGAAAGGGAGAGGGACATTAGGCCAGCCATAGTGGGAAGGCCAGGGTATGGTATGGAGAACAAACTGGGAGCCAGTAAGACTCAGTGTGATCCCATCTATTACTTTCCAGCCAGATGACTTCACCTATCTGGGCTTAGGTGTCTCCTTACAGAAAACAGCATTAACATCCACCCCGTGAGACTGGCAGGGGATTCAACAGGTGGTATGCCACATGCTTGGCACCTCCAAAGCTTCATTTTCGTTTGAGTTCTTCTTCTTCTTCCTCTTCCTCTCCTTCTCCTTTCTCTCCTCCTCCTTCTTCCATGATTAGGAAGGGTTGGGCAATACAATAATTTTTAAAAAAAATTCAAAGCACTATTTAAGAATATCATTTCCAAGAGTTCTTTGGAAAACAACATTTCAGACTGGATGTAAGGAGCATAACTTGCCAGGGGAGAGGCAGGAAACGTGTGTGTGGTGATGTTGGTTTTGATCTTTCCAGGCAACAAAGCAGAAGAAAAGAAACTCACTGCAGAAGGACCCCCTCAACCCCCCACTCAGCCACTCTGTGTTATTTTAAACACTCCACTCTATTTATAAATTACCCCCCGCAAAGTAATATTTTTACACATTATGTCCTAACAATTCTTCTTCTAGAGACTGAGAACCCTTCCCCCGTTGACTCTGAAGGGCTAACGTCCCTATCTATATTCTGTTCAGCTTTAATAATATTTACACAGCATTTTACAGCTCACAAAGCTCTCTTCCCTCTGCCCTGTTGTCTGCCTCTAACGGCACCCCGCAGGTCACAGTGTGACTACCAATGCTTTCTAAGAGAAAGTGGTGAAGGCCAGGGAGGCCAGTGAGTCACCCTGAATGAAAAAGGGGCACAGCTTGGCAGCCCCATCCCTGACACCTGGCCTCCTCCCTCTCACTCCTGTGTTCTTCCTGATGGTGCCAAGGAAGCCGTTTCTTTAAAAAGCCCCAGCAGGTAGCTAGCTGGTCCTTATGTCCCAAAGACAGAAG